CAAATCTTCCCGAGTCACTTTTTAGGTTTACGGAGGCCTTTGAAAAGAGGGAGAATATTGCGGCGCTTATTCAGGAGACGAAGTAGAGGTGCTGAGTCAAATGAATGTGAGTGCTCGGCGATGGGGTTAGGGTCAGATGTAATCTGCGTTTCATGTTTTACTCTCCCAAGTTGACACGGCGTAAATAATTTGGCAATGAAAGCAGGGACCGATAAAAGGACTCGAGAGCCGTTCTGTGTACCGATTGTAGCAACTTTCATATCTCCATCTATCATAACTCATGTCATCTCAATCCCGATTAATCTCCACCACCGGTCCCGTATACTCCTTCCTCGCCCAAATAGCATAATACACCGTACTAATTAAACTCGTACCAACCGTGCCAACCACCGCCCAATTCATCGTACTAGCCGTCGGGTTCATCTCATCAGGCCAGAAACTGAAGAACACGCCCACGGCCAGGTAAGCAATGGTAAAGGCATTAACTGAAACACCCAATATGCCACGCATTCTGAAGGGGCCCCAGGCAAGAGGCGCACCTGCCGTGTTCACAATTGTGTCCGTGGGTGCATCCGATGGTTCGCGAATACCGCCCGTGAGGCGCTGCCACATCAGAAGGAAGGCTGAAATCAGGTAGGAAGAGTAGAGGGCGCTGACGCAGAGAGAGACGACGTCGTTAAGGACGGCTGCTGAGCCTAGAATGATTAGTGCCAGCAGAACGGCTGCGCTGGTTACGACGAGGATGGACCATTGGGGCACGGCTTGGGCGTTGACCTGGGGTTGGATTAGTGCTCTGTTCCATGAGTATGGGGATGGGAGACGTACCCTGCTGAGAACTTGCCATCCGGGGAGACCACGGTCTCGGGCGAAGGACCATGCCATCCGAGAGGAAGATGCCAATGAGCCTACAGCGGTGGCGGTGACTAGGATGGGGACGATGGCTGACATGACAGTACATCCTCCGAGCGATTTTGTGGCAGAGCAGAAGATTTGCATGTAAGGGTATCCTGTGGGTGAGGCTAGTGCGGCGGTGGCGTCTGTCATAGTAAACAATGTGGACAGGATCATCCCAAAGCCCAGCGCTCCGTTGATCAGAACCGACGTGAGGATTGACTGCGGAACAACGCGCTCTGCATCGTAGATTTCTTCGCTCATCTGCCCAGTTGTATGTCAGTCAAGTAGAGATTTGAGGCTGAAGGTGATGAGAAACTTACGTGGACAGCCGCATCAACACCGGTAAAGGCAAACATGTTACCAATCATACCGACCATGAAGGCCAATCCCTGGGTTTGGAAGCCACCATCGTTGGCAAACTGCCCAAAGACCTCAGAAGCAGAGTTGTGATCTCCCAGGTAAACCAACGGGATGATGATCCCGAAGAACCCAAACACGTGCAAGATCAGGACAAGACCCTCGAACTTGGGCAACAAGGTGCTGGTAATAACATTGACGAACACAGCAAAAGCCACAATGGCCCAGAACAGAAGCATTGTTTGCCAGGGCTCCGGGGTATAGGACGAATGGTTAAGAACCACCAAGCCCAGAATCTGGGAAGCACTTAGGTAGCAGGTTGATGCAAAGGCTCCCAGCCAGCCAATGACAATTAGCCATCCTAAAGTAGCTATATCAGTATGGTAAGCAGCGAAGGAAATCTGGTAAATACACAAACCTGTGAGAAAGCTGAGGTACTTCTGGCACCATCGCGGGGACATCATCGACACCCAATGGTATTGTCCTCCGGAAGTAGGAGCCCTTCGGATAGAAGCATATTAGTTAGAGGCGGCTAGGCTAATTATCTGGTCGATGGACTTACATCGAAACCAGTTCAGATAGCGTGAGAAACGTCGAGAATGTACCCAGCCAGACGACCAGGAAACTGTAGACCGTTCCAGCAGGACCTCCACTGTTGAGATTGTTAGGTTAAAGTATGTCTTCATGTAGAGTCCATACATACTCTTCAAAGGGTACGGTAAATGTCCTAAACATCAGTTAATAAAGACACAACGCACCATCTTTCCCTCAACTGGGAAATACGCACGACAAAATGCCCTCCCAGGATGCCAGAACCGTACAACTAAAACCCAATATGGACAAGAAACCAAACCGACGCTGTAAGCGCTGGTAAGCCACTGCGGAAACACAATTCTAAGGTCATCGCACACCTTCAAGATCTGTTTCTTGCCCACGCGGCCCAGTCCCTGCTCATCATTGACTTGAGACTGGCTGCTGTTGGCGGCCTTGGAATCCAAATTCCGGTCGCGCAACTCAATCGGCGGCCCCATTGTGGCGCTGACTTATGTGTGCAAATGCCCGAAGTCAACCCCTTCAACTGCGGGAGGTAGAAGCAAGAGCAGAATGTGTAGGAAACCGAAAGCAAAGCTTGTTCCTTCGGTTAACCCCTCCCGTCTTCTGATCCCTGTCTTATCCGGTGTAAAATTGGCTTGGCTGCATATGCAGGACGAAGAAAAAGAAAAAAGGGGAGCGGAGAAAGGCCGCAACCGAGTTAACAGGGGCTGGTTTGGATTTTTTCCATGACGGACACCGGTCAATGTGTCTAAACTATAGAAGGAACAATTTTATTAACCGGAGAAACTTGACGAAGGGGGGTAGAATGTCAAGCTGCAGAGCGCCGCCCGATAGTTAGCATTGTTAGGACCACTAACATGGCCTAACAGGATCAAACACCGCGCAATCCTGCTGGATCCCTGGGCGGGTTGCATGTCTTTAGTGGCGGGTCCACCCTGTTCGGTGCCTTACTAGGGAGAGTTAAGCTTCCACTTCCGGGATGCTAGGCTTCGTGCCGTCGGATTACGGGCCAGCCTCCGGTCCGAAACTAGAGATTTTAGACAAGCAAACAGTAATTGAAGGTCCACAGTCCGGGAAAGCTGAGACAACTTGGGAACCTTAAAAAAGTGCCAGGTGCTCTCAGCGAACGGCTGGAGATCGCCCAACCCACTGCTTCTTCCCGAAATAATTTGAATCTGGATGTGGAATACTTCGTCCAGTCGTAATGCATGTAAATAGTACCGTGTAAGACGATCTCTAATGGCTAATTGATTCGTGTAGTCCATGACTGCCATTGGAGTCACTGTCCATCGGTCGGTTTGTCGCAGCATCCAGGTTATACTGCTCTTCTACGGCCCAGGTTCTAGTCTCTCGAATGATATGATCCTGACTGGAGTGGCTCATGGTATCGTCCCAATCCTGCTGCTCTCTCCCTGCAGAGATAGCGGTGCTGTTGGCTACCCCAACATGCCCGCTAAGCTCGTGTGCAGCAGCCTTCGCTTTGCTCACGCGAGCGTACTCTCCGCGTTCAGACGTCTCGCCTGGGAGGTAGTATAATCGGAGCCCAGTGGACTGTAATCCGTCCATGAACGGCTTTAGGTGCGGAGCGCAGGCCATGACAATTGACAGACACTGTACTAGCTGGACGCAGACGGCGGCCTTCCAAATGGCCAGCAAGGGGTCTGAGGCGTAATTGTTTTGATGGCGATATACAAGCTCAAGGATGATCGCAACGATGACCCTGTCATTATATAAGCATCAGTTACTGTCCACCAACGTCGAACGGGTTGTCACCAGCTAGCATACAAGAATCGAGTGAGAAAGCAGGCGATGGCAACTATTTTTCTAGGAACCGCCATTTGAATCCGGAGTATGAGCATACTAGGTACTAGAATCAGGGCGACTTCACTTAGGATGTTGAACGCCCCGAAAACCATCCACCATGCATCCTAATTTGAAGTTAGTCTATATTCTTCGAATTTTATATGTGTATGGTATCTCACTCGATTGAAACACCTCGTCTGATTCCATTCCCATGGCTGCGGAAGATCACATTGGAAAGCTACGGCGAATTCCGCCGCCACGGCCCAGGCGCTGATCAATGCAATGAGTACCCATTCAGCCTTGCGGGTGCGCTGCATAAGAAAGGTCATGAATGCCAGGGCGCTTAGCTTGGAGAAAGTCAAGCTTGCAACGTATAGCATTTCTGCGGCATAAACAGACTGACTATGTCAGCGACAAATTAATCCGGAGAAATTGGATGGTGTACCTTCAGAGCTATATCAATTCGCTCTTGTGAGGAAGCACTTTCTGCCTCCCCGTAGCCATTGCGCGCGGCGATGGTAATGCATATTGTCTGTAGCACACTGAAGGCCTGCGTTGGGATTAGGGCTTGACACGTCAACGAAAGTTTTGAGGCTCACCATTGACACAGAGATCAGGTGATCATCTACCGTAAATTTCCTAGTGATGGCATATTTGATCCCCAGCCGTGCAGCCCCAGATAGTGTCGAAATTACGGCGAAAAGCAAGGCTAGGATCCCTATTATAGGGGACCGATTGGCGTCAGTGACCGCAACCATGACTACCACATCTGTTGCTGGCCTGCATCCCTTGAGTCTGGGACCAGAGAGAGCAGCCAGGCTGATAAAGGGGAACAACGCATCGTAGTAGCAAGGCGACCTGAAGGATTCATTCGATCTTTTTTATTTGAATTTTGTTGGATTATTAGCAATCTCAGCCCGGCGATCCTAACCCCGACGAAGGATCGGGGTGGAGGCGTCTAAATCCGCTAGGGCCGCAGTAGTCAGCCCACCAACCGGCGCCGTCTCATGGCTTGCATCACGCAGTGTTTTCTCCCTTGCGTGCCGCACTTTGATATAGGGGCCAAATTGCTAAGAAGTGAGGCACACGGTTCAGGAGAGACCCCTGAAATCGGCGGCTTGATTGAGCCGCCGACTTATCCCACACATGCTTCGAGAACTGTGTGCTGACTGATAGACATCCAAAGACCCCGGACTTTGCCCGGGGCCTTATCTAATTGACGCAAGTTCAATATGACGGTGATATAGTGCCAGTGGGGTTGTCTCACAAGCTGGAGGGGCCGGGCCATGGGCTAACCTCGGGGAATCTCTCGGGTGTGGTGGTGTCAAACTCGAGACAGGCTGTTTTGTCTGAACCTTCACCCCCTCCTCCTTCTTTGCTTGTTATCACTACTCCGTACTATTACTGTCTTGACAACCATTTTGCGTCGATCTTCCCAGTATGGCGGCAAGTACTGTTCAGGAGGGAACAGCTCCGTTCCATTATGCTAGTCTTCCCCAGCCTGCCCAAACGTGGTACCGAGTCTATGGCGACATCAGGGCAGGCACACCATTAGTAGTCCTGCATGGCGGGCCGGGCTTTTGCCACAACTACATGCTGCCCCTGGCTGCACTGGCTTCCGATCGTGCCGTGATTCTATACGATCAGATCGGAAATGGATTGTCCTCCCACTATTTGGAGAAACGCGGCGATCAGGAGTTCTGGACGGTCGACCTGTTCATCGCGGAGCTGGAAAACCTGCTTCAGCACCTTGGTATTGCAGGTCATTTTGATCTGCTGGGTCATTCCTGGGGCGGGATGATGGGGATGGATTTCGCCGCTCGTCAGCCGGCCGGACTGCGCCGTCTGATTCTATCAAACTCTCCGGCCTCGGTCGCACTGTGGCTTGAATCGGTCAACCGACTCCGCGCTACCCTACCCCAAGAGATTCAAGACACGCTGCAGAAGTGCGAAGCAGAAGGGCGGCTCGATTCGAAAGAATATGAAAATGCAACGGTGGAGTTCTTATCCCGATTCTGTTGCCGGACACAGCCATGGCCAGAGGAGCTTATGCAAAGTCTCGTCTGGACTACGGAGAAGGATTCTACCGTCGCTTCCAGCATGTAGGTTGCACACTTTCCCGAGTTCTTTCTCCGTCTACCATTATACACTGTGTTTCTCTTAATGCCACGTGCTAACGGCAGCAGGCTCGGTCCCTCCGAATTCTGGGTCGAAGGGTCTCTCAAAGATTGGAGCGCACTAGACCGCATTCATCGGATCAAGGTTCCCACACTGGTGATCAATGGTAAATATGATGAAGCGCAGGACAGTGCCGTGGAACCGCTCTTCTGGGGTATTGATAAGGTGAAGTGGATCACCTTGTCGGAGGGTTCGCACTGCCCGCAGTTCGACGACCGCGAGAAGTACCTGCAGGTTGTTGACGAATTCTTGGGCCGCGCATAGTGTTGGGGTTGTTTCCTCGAGAGTGTCGCTTATCGGTTGTTTTGAGCTATAAGGGGCCTGGAGAAAGTCCGTGCCGTTAGTTTCAGTTGATTGCAGGAAACGAACCGACTAGTATGAGATGGTTGATGTGCTAATGTGAACCGATTTATGACCATTGTTCATTTTGGCATTAGCCTGTATGACCGGCTATTTGTTGTGAAATAATGCTCGTAGACAGGCTTAAAATGCTCTAAAATTGAAGAACGAGTGTATGATTAGCAAGGTAAAAAGAAGTTGTTGGGGGATAATCCTTCGGCGGTGGTGAGAAAGGATCTCTAGTCCGCTCTACAATGTCGGCCTTGCTGCCTCGGCTGTACTTTCTGTAGGGGGAAGGACAGCACTGTTGATCACGCCACATTGTGGTGGTTGTATATTGACAAAAACAAAGAGGAGCCTCTGGCCTGCCTTTTAAACAAAGTTGTAGACTCCTCTAACTTGCATTGTACAGTTAAGCGACTGTATTGGGTCAAGTCATCAAAAATGCAAAAAGATATGACAAGAGTGGGATTCGAACCCACGCCCCTTTCGAGACTAGGAATGCTCCGAGGAACATGAGATGATCAGGTGACCTGACCCTAGCGCCTTAGACCGCTCGGCCATCTTGCCCAATTGTTGAATGGGGCAGCAACTTTCCAATACATAATCCAAGGGTATACCGTACCTTCGCAACCAGGATGCGATCGAGCAACTCTGCTGTGCAGTGGGGGAGGTCCACAGCCCATGCAGTGGGGTATTATGCGAACTGGTCTACTAGTCTGTTGCTTGCTTTTTTCCAGGCAATACTTTGTACCCGATGTATTATTTCTTTTTATGCCGTTCCCATATTCCCTTCTAGTAGATTTCTAAATCCGACGATCGTTTTGTTCTATGTAGGACCTTCCGGTGTTGTTGTTACGGTGCGTCGGCTAGGAAGTAAACATGACACGGGGAATCTATTGCTGAGCTACCATAGCTCTGTCTCCCTGGCAGTGCCTTTGTAGCGTTTGTATACACTAGTAGTACTATTTGCTGAAATCATTTCTGGCAGTATCTATCCTGTTGGTGAGTGGGTTTGCTATACATTGTTGGCGGAGCCTTCAGGGACGGCGTAGCTTTGCTTGTAGCTGATGCAATGTACATCCTGCGGATTTCACCTTTGTACATTGAGCGTGCTTTTTGTGTGGTATTGATCATGTTACTATTCATGCTTTCAACGGATCAACTGAAGGGGGGGTGATGCTGGAGTGTAGAATCGATGGACTATTGCCTTTAGTAGTACTGTAGGTTCCTATGGGTATATATACCAAGCCAAAGGTCAATCAGCCACTTGATCCCAACACCAGCACCAACAAGGTAAACGCACATAAAATAACATTTCAAAACACGTATATCAAAGCAGAACATTTATAGGTGCTGCTACACGCAACAACCTAGGTTAATAATGCATATCATGACCATCCAGCCTTCAATGCCAACCGCGTAGCGTGCTTTTCTCACATATACGACAATTAGCTGATATAGCACTTGTTGGTGACTAATTTTCATCAACCGGCAAGATGGCCGAGCGGTCTAAGGCGCTAGGGTCAGGTCACCTGATCATCTCATGTTCTTCAGAACATTCCTAGTCTCGAAAGGGGCGTGGGTTCGAATCCCACTCTTGTCATAACTTTTTCTTCCCTCTACATCCATATCTTCTCTCCCTCACTTTTTTTTCATTTTTTTGTCCTCTTCCCTCTTTACCCCCATCACTTCCTTTTCGACAGCAAGCCTACATGACTCCTATGTCCATTAGCCGAATATCCAACTATCAGGCTGTTCATGTCCCTACCAACGGTGCTCTTTCTCTCGCATCCCCGGTTCACAGCGGCAGTGGACAATGAAGTCACGGGTATCTCTTATCGATAACCTTCTTTTAACCCACACGCCAGCGGGACATGACAGCTTGTAGGCCCGTGCAGTCATGTAGGTGGTCTTTGGTGGCATTCATTACGCACCCTCTTAATTCGGGAACGAATATCTACGGGGGCCACTGCAAAGGATGTTGCCGAGACCTCCAAAGAGCAACAATTCATATCTCACTAGATCAATAGACTACGAGCGCGCTGATAGAGGTTTGCGGGGAACAGGGTATCATTTTATGATCGCAGCCCCAACTAGCTAAGCATAAAAAGCCGGAACCCAAAGGTAACGGAGATACAAAGATGCTCGTCCAGTGAGCCCTAGAAACGCAAGAAGAGACAAAGTAGCGTGAGAAGAAGAAGGAAAAAAAATAAAATAAAAGGAAATACATTGATGCCCACCCACCCAACCCCTGAAGAGGCGAGGAGAATGCAAGACAAAAACGGCAGAGTATAGGAGATACAAAGATGCCCACCCACCCAGCCCCAAAAGGGGCGAGGAGAATGCAAGAGAAACGTAGGAAGATACAAAGATGCCCGCCCACCCAACCCTATATGAAATGAAAAGAACGCCTGCAAAACGCAAGAGAAAAAAAAAAAAAAAATAAGAAAACAAGGATGCCCACCCACCCGACCCGAAAATAGGAAAACAAAACGCCCACAACGCAGCTCTAGATACAATAGAGTCTCGACCCACGCAAAGAACCGAACGCCAAGCAACGCAGCTCTACTTACAACAGAGACTCAACACATGCAACGAAAAGGCAAGAAGCAAGCAAGCTGGCGAGCAGGCAAGCCAGCAAGCAAGCACTATATACAACAGAATCTCGACACATGCAAGGAAATAAACGCCTGCAAGAAAAGCAGCTCTATGTACAAGAGGTATCTCAACACATGCAAAGAAATGAACGCCAG